AAATCCTTCATCCGAGTTAAAAAGCACCAAGATCTACTTTGTATATCATTAACCTGTAAAGTAACTGAAGCTTTAAAAAGGTCCAGTGTGTAAACATTGAGGAGGATCTATTGTCAGAAATAGAAATATAATATTCACAGATATGTTTTCATTAGTGTTTAATCAGCTGAGCAAACGTCTTCATAGCGTGTCCGACGTTGTTTATTTCTGTATTTTGTCTTTAAAAGGAAACAATATGATGTGTTTCTCTGCTTCACATCTCCTCTGACTGACTGACTTCCTGTCTGGTGCCACAATGTTTAATCCAGCGTCTGCACGCTGTATTTTATTTTGAAAATTGACTGGATTCTCTGTGGTGTTTCTGTGTCCGACTTCCTGCCACTGCGATCTGCTCAGGAGTCACATTGTGTTTGTTTCTGCTCTCAGATAAAAGCTCCTGATTAATCCAATAATGCTTCAGTTTGCAGATCGATTCGTAAATGTTTGAAATGTCTGGGTCTTGTTTCGGTCTCTGCTGTCCCCCCAGAACCACCTCACTGGGACTCTGATACAGAACATGAACTCCATTCGCTCTGTAAACAATGTCAGTGAGCTTAAAACAGACGACTGTCACCAGAACATAACTGAGAAAACAGTTTATTAATATAAAATCAATACCTCCAGGGACCAGGATTTCAAAACTTTTAATCTAGATCATAAATCTCCGGATAGGACTAAATCTTGAGATACACATTTGGGAATAGAGTTCTGCCCAGAATCCACATCGAACGCTGTTTTTGGGGTATTTCAAAACTCTGAGGATGATCCTGATCCCACTGGAAGGCTGGATCCGAGGTGGATGTAGAGACAGAGGTTGTTATAGTTCACTAAAACTAAAAATTAGAACATTTTATTGATTTGATTCTGTGATCCTGATCTGAAAAGTAGAAAGAAAGAAAAACAGAATAAAAACCTACAAGATCAGTTTGATCACAGAATGTAATACATGTGTAATGTAGACGTAGGTTTTGAAATACTGGACCCAGAAGAGGTTGAGGTTGGTCCTCAGTCTGGTCCCTGCAGACTCGGTGTCCCCCCTCCCGTTCGGCCCTGCAGGACATCATCAGACCTCAGCTAAGATCACAGCAGCTCAGTGTTTACCTTCAGCTCCGACCGTTTGAGTCCCAGTGTCCCCCTCGGACTTCCAGCTGAGCTCTCAGGGTGGGTGAGGCTGGACGGGTGAGAGAGGAAGGGGGACACACAGCGAGAGGCGGTGGCCCGGCGGCTCTGACGGGACCAGCAGCTGACACAGACTCTGGCCTGAGGCTGGACCCCGGTCCTCTGGAGCCTAATGATGGCTCAGAGGTGTCCTCTCCGTCCTGGTGGTCCACACACTCTGTTACATTCTTGTTGCGTACAAATGGTGAATTATCTGTCGAACGTTGACGCCTCCGCGGGAACATTTGATGAGCGGAGCGTCAACAGTTGGACGAAACATTCCTGAAGCGGTTAGAAAAACTTCATGTTAAAGGAAAAACAAGTTCACCTTTAATTAGCTGGCTGTTAGCATCCATATTAGCAGCATATTAGCTCTCACTTATTAATGCCTTATTTCCCCTCAGTAACCTCCTAATTACTGCGTCACTGTAAAACCTGACAGCATCTTAAAGTAAGTTAACATAAATTAGTCATTCACATTAATTAAACTCAACTAAAACATTTATTGTTGAAGCAACTCAGTTGTTTTGAGTGAACTTAAATTTGTGCAGTATTTTAATTATTGGTGATTTAAATCCAGTTTGTTGCACTGACTCATTTATATAATTATAAAAACGTAAGCATTATGAAGCCATATAGCTTATGATTGTTCCGTTTTTGGTTTTATTTCAGTTTATTAATCATCATAAAGCCCAAATATGCATCCAAATCATTCTTAATGATCCCCAAAGTGTAAAGATTTGATGTTTGTCAGATAGAAAACACAGAAAATTTATTGGTAATGGCTCCCAAGTGGTAGTCCCACCACTTGTGACACCCAGTTTTCCATTGATTAAACGTTGTGTCCTTTAAAACTCAGTTGAAAAGCTTTAAAAATATACACAGTAGGTCTATATCTCATCTTCCTGTAACCATCAGGGAGACGAAAACACTGAATTTGTCAAGAAGGAATCCTATTAAGTCTGTATGATTGTTAAAAAAAAATTAAAAATACATAATACAGACAGAAAATTGTATAAAAACTTCCTCAAAAAAATCAGGAAAACTTAATATTCACAGGAAATAATCTGCTCAAAATTCATCCAAATTGCTCATTTTACACAAACTTCCTGTTATTGAGTTCGGTTTATCAGTTGTTCTGTACTTTATTGTTATTATATAATATGAAATATCCGTAATATATGTAATGAAGTTGGGGTTGTCAGTTTAGTCGATGACAGAAAAGGAAAAAAAGTCAAATATCTGAGCTTCTCTGGTTTTTCTTCAGTTTGTCAGCCGATGTGTGGATGTGTTTCCTCTGCAGCGACGGACTCAAACTGTCTCTGAATTGCCGTAATTAGGACGTCATCACACCTCCAAACCTCCCACAATGCTTTCCTGCTTGACACTTTGACGTCACGCCGGTCATTTCCAATCCGAAGCCACACAAGATAAAAAAAAAACCTGCCAGACTGAGACCGACATCCACAATACAGTGATGATGCTGTTTTTATTAAAACATCGTCCATATAAACTCAAATACAACCAACAATATCATAACAAACACATTCACACTCACAAATGATATCAGATATAATATGTAGTATTTAAAGTCAGCAAGATCACATCCTTCTTGTTCCCCTATTTAACAATATAGA